CTACTTCAACCTATGTCATATGAGAAGCCAGAGTAACGTTCGTTTTCAATATTAGAGAAGAGTGGAAGGTATACCATCCTGTGAAGTGAGCGCTTGGTTTTTTACCCATGTCAGTATGAATAAAGTTTTTACTGATCAATGTGAAATGCGTTTTTTGTCAATTCATTGCAGTTGTAAAAGGCATGAAATTGACGCCATAAATGTAGGTGATTAATTAATATGTCTGTACCTACATTAGGATTTAAAATATTATCTTATTGAAAACCAACATTTACAATCTGTTCAATAGTTCAAAGCGACCAAATGCAACACGTAAGTTCACGTTAGATTTCTATCAGTTAAGCTCTTTTCCAGCGCCTTCCTCCGTCTCAGGAAATGCTTCAAAAGTTCGCTGATAAAATGTTTCGCCCATGGGCCGAAACCTTTGACCAATTGCCTTCAACATTATGCGGTTTAATCCAAAAAGCTTTTACCGCACGCTCGCGCTAATGCTAAAGGCATACTTCGGCATATGCTAAAAAATGCATTACCAGTTTGCACTTAAGCCAACATTTTTTTATTTTGGGATGGTCTCGTTCCTAAGTCAGCTAAGAGCTTCGGTCCAGAACATAGATTTATCGGTGGCGTACAGTAAAATACATACCAAACTAGGCCAATGATAAATTTTCAAGACCTCAGTCATTACTAATTTTTGAACTCGGCCTTCGGCCTCGTTCAAAAATCCAATAAGGACCTCGGTCTTGAAAATTTATTTACACCGGCCTCGTTCAGTATTATATATAACCACATACGTGACGTCAAGGACAGTGCACCAGGTGAAGTTTTTTTTATTAGGTGAGGTCAACAGACTATCTAAGGACGTTCTTTTTCAACCACTGATCTGCACAGCAACCCAGCTCTTCACAGGCCGTGAGACCATCAATTCAGACCGTGCAGAAGGCGCTAGACAGACACCTCCTCCCCTTATGACGCAATTAACTCGGACCGGAAAAGTGAATGGAGACGGGATGTTTATGGCTACACGGCGTTATCGCGCTCGTTTGTTGTTGTTTACCGAAGTTTATGTCGAGACAGTGTGTTTATATAAGGTCAGAGAGCACGCCGGTCTGCAAAAGGTGTGATCAAACTACGACGAGAAGCTTACCGGAGGTTTGGCTGTACCCAGTGACATTGGTGATCCATTTATTATATGTAGAGCCTGTGTTGGATTGTCTGAATCTCAAAAATCATTTAGCTCCTCTTAACTCGCTCTTGTCAGCGTTTTTTTTTTTAATTTGTCTATTTCTCTCCCGAGGATAACTATCAATTTTCATTTATTTAGAACTATGCGGTAGAAAGGCAGTCGCCTAAATATCCCTCCGAACCTGTATTGGTCTGTGCAAACTGCAAAGTCATATTTACTGTGCTGTGCCGTCTGATGGCATGATTTAGGGGTATTGTCAAATCGCGGGATAAAATGCCTCAGAGCACACTGTTTCTATATCAGAATGTAACATGTTTATTTTTTATTGTATAGGTTCCAGTAACCTTAATCCTGTTCCAGTCTATTTTGCGAAGCAGCCCTACCTCGCAAACGGCTAGCACGATAGGCTATCAGAGCCGTTGGCAACTTCCCCTGTTTTAATTATATTCCAGCTGCAGTAATATTAAACCTTATCTAGTATTTTACGATTGCGACTCAGCTACTCGATCATTTCCTATGGACCTAACGGACGGCTCGCTCAATTCCGACCGTAGGGGAAGTTGGGGCAATGCCGGAGTTGGGGCAAAGCCGAAATTCGAGATATTTCTAAAACCGTACGACATGGATGCCACGTCTCAGTGATGCTCTGAAGCTTAAGTGACTACAATTATCGCATGTTTGTTACGAGTCGTCATTTGGAATACTTCAGCTGTGAGGGCGCCAAAAGCGTTTTCAAGGTACGTTTCCCTTGTACTACATGCGCCTTTGAAGCTGCATTTCTTACTCATTATGCTACCGTTTGTCTGGCCAATTCGGTCAAGTAATCTTCAGCATGTCTTTGCATAAGTGTGCTGCCTATTTGAAATTTATACAGCACGTTTTAAAGTTATGGGCCTGCAAATGAAAGTATGGCTGACTGGGGTAAAGCCGAAAACGTGCAATTACGCACGTTAAAGCACGCTACGTGGACTTTACTGCTGTAGAACAGCAACGCGTATTTTTAGTCAAACAAATTACACTTTCAGCCGGCACAACGGCCTGTTACCTATAAGGAATGATTTACCTGGCATATTCTTATTATATCACACAATTATAACTTCCAGTGTGCACCAAGCGTCCTCAAGCTGTTAAAACGCGTGTCAGCTTTGATGAATTTTGGATAAAGTTTAAGATAAATCGGCAAAACATCAATGTCGGCATTCCTCGTAGATCATTTATCCCATTTTCGGCTTTCCCCGCAGTCCGGGGCAACGCCGAAAAAGTCAGTTCTTTGATATTTTTAGTTTTTGCGCTTAACGGTATGCGAATTCATCAAATGCGCCTGGTATGTTTGAAAGACAAAAGACTGGCCTCTCGAATGAAGCCAACAAGAATAGCTTATGTTGTCTACCTTGCGTGCTACGGGCTTCAGAAAAAAAGTATTCGGCGTTCCCCCAACTTCCCCTACCATTCGACGGGAAAGTTCGTTATGCCACTTGTCAGTTCTAATCTGTGTCAGCTTTGTAAGGTTCGGTTGAATAGAGTTGCGACGTGATTATTTGAATTGTGCGACTCTAACTGCAACGGGCAGGTTATATTAAACGTTGCAAATATGCAACGTGAATTTTTTTTTAAATTTTAACACATGCCATTTAGGGGGAGAGGAGGGCTCAGGACTCAGGAGGATAGATTGTTTGGGGAAACGGATGGGGGTCGGATGGCTGACAAGAAGCTGTAACCAGCAGCATAACTTGAGCGTGCACTCTGCAAGAGGGACAAACAATACACCATACGCATAACTTTTTTAGACATTAGGGCTTTATATGTGGGAGAACAAGATGGTCTTTTAATGTCTTTTAGCGTGATGACACTGCATCATTACCGCGATTGCCTCCCAACAGGCATCAGCCAATGAGCACAAACTAGAACACCAACGTCACGCATTTTCAGATTAATGTCTCCGCAAACTTTGAAACACGAAAACACATCAGCAATGGATGCCATTCCATATCAGGAAGAGCAACACTTGTCATTTTCGATGCCTTTCGACAGCAATATTTTCCGGCAATAGCTCTACACCACGCAAGGCCCTAAAAGAACACCACACTCGCTGGCATGCAATGTCGCGTGCCTAGCTACTCCGTGGTCCACCGTTACGACGAAAATCGTGTTTGCTTTGCAGTTCAGTGCTCCTGTGGCAGACTTGGCATCTGTTTATCGTTATTTACCGGCCTCTTTGCCGCGGGAAAATTTACATATCGTAGCGTCTGAGGGTCATTAGCAGGTGAGAGGGATGTTCGTCAGAGTCGTTTGGAGAAGGGAGGGGGGGGGGTGGACAAGCGTCTAGACCGCTGCTGGACTGCAAACTGAATCGTTGTCACTGTGCAGCCTTGTGAAGGGCTCTGAGGCTTACAGGTAGATGACCGCTGAGTTATTTAGGCATTCACTTCTTGGTGCATACACTTGGTGCAGGTTGTTCTCAATTCACTTGGTGCAGGTTGTTCTCAGCGAGCAGTCATGCATTATTTTCAATGTGAAAGATATACCAGCAGTGTAGATGAGCTGCCTATCATATCTCAACATGAATATTGCTTCTGAAAAAGCAAAGCGATATTATTAGGCATTGTACTTACATCCTTAGAAAATTTATCTTAATCGATTTAAAAGAAAAAAAAATATTTATCGATCGAACCACGCGAATGTCACCGATCCGTTGGTATATACAAACAGTTATACAAGTTTAATAACTTTATATATTCTGTGCTTTTATTGGGCAGACGTGTACCTACGTGTGTGTACCTTCTTTCATGCCAATTGCCTACAAGACGATCGCCTACGCTGCTTGATCTTCTCAGGTATATTCGGTTCAATTTCTTTATTTGATTCCGATTTTCTCGTTTCAGGTTTCTGCTGCGCACAGCCTGCATCAAGAACGTCTGGTCATCCTGACCCCGGCCAACATTGAACTTCTAACGGTCACCAGCAAATATTCCAATAAACCGGCGTCACAGAGGAGTACTACCGACGAGAGGATAGTTGCCGAGCAATTTCACGCCTCAACGCGCAGCGATTTCCGTGACCGTCCCAATCAGCGCGGACAAGTGGCAATAAATCTGAAACAAATAACGAACCTACGTCCGACACGTCTTGCTCGGATCGCTCGTGTTCTTGTTAGCGAGGCGCCTCCCGTCGGCTAGTCCGTGCTCAGTGGCGGGTCTGCTCAGATCATCTCCAAAACTACTCTACTCCCGAGCTCAAGGGTGCAGATTTAGTCGCCCTGTCACGTCTCTAGAGTGTGTGAAGGCTGTCGCAGTAGGTAACTGAGCGCGTCTGGCGGCCGATGCGCCTCGAAGGTCACTGACTGCAGAAATTCGATCGGCGCAACGTTCAGACAGATTCGGCGGCGGCGTCGGTGCGCGTCGCCGCAGTCGAGGTGGTTCGTCGCAAGCGACAGCTGGCCCCGCGTGCCGCGTCGAGGTCGGCGGAACAGTCGGGCGACCGACGTCGGCGTGAGCGTTCGCGTACCGACGGTCTCGCGCAGGGCGGCCGCTGACAGCACGGTACGAAACTCAGGACACTGGTGATAGACAGTGCAAGCATCCGGTGAGACAAACGGACATTGGATATAATCGCCGCTGGTTGGCGAAAATCTTTGGAGAAAACTGGACGCGATTCGACAGGCGTCTAAGCGCTGTGAGAGAAAGAACCGCAAGTGAAAAACAGGTGCGATATATACGTAAAAGACTTTTTGAAAAGCACGAATCCTCGCATTTCCTCACACGTGCTTAGCATTTCTCTGCTTCCTCCGTAATCTAATTTTCAAAGCCACCCGACAATCATGACCTCCGAAAATGACAGCTTCTTGTTCGACGACTTCGGCTTGGACTTCTTGAACGACTCCATTTCTTCTAAATCCGCCTTCCACAACAGCGTCAACGACACGTCCAGCACCGACGGCGACATGCACACCGTCATCCCGATGACGGTGCTGTACGTCATCACCTTCCTTCTCAGCGCCGTGGGCAACACCGTCACCTGCATCGTCATCGTATACAACAGGTACATGCATACCGCGACGAACTACTACCTCTTCAGCATGGCCATCTCGGATCTTCTGCTTCTTGTTACTGGACTGCCCATCGAGCTCTACGGCTTCTGGACGCCCGGACAACCGTACGCCTTTGGCGAGACGTTCTGTATCGTTCACGGACTGTGCGCAGAAACATCCACCAACGCTTCTATTCTCACCATCGTGTTCTTCACAGTGGAGCGCTACATGGCCATCTGCCATCCACTGATACAGCAGACCATGTCAAGTCTCCCTCGCACCATCCGCAACATCGTCTTCATCTGGGCAGTTGCACTTCTCTGCGCCTGCTTCCCCGCTGCTCAGTTTGGCATCAAACACAAGCTGGATGAGTTCGGTAACATCCGCGAGGAGACTGCCAACTGCAACGTGGTGCGCCATCTCTTCCCCTACGTGTTCGAGGTGTCGTCAGTGCTCTTCTTCGTCGTGCCGATGATGATCATCACGCTTCTCTACGTTCTCATCGGGCTGCGCCTGCGGCGTTCCGGACGATCGAGGCACATGTCCCGAGGAAGTATGCACGGAGGAGGGTCCGGTACCGGCGCCGGTGCCATCGCTGCCAGGAGAGCCGTCATCAAAATGCTAGGTAAGTTTTCTTACGCATTGGGTACTTTGGGGATGCTAAAGAGGTGGGCAAAGTGCTGGCTTTGCTGATGAGTTTGAAGGAGGGAGTAAGGGGTTCCTGGTGTCGCATGAAAATCGTTTTGCCTGTGCGCTCTATTTTATAAGACATGCTTCATGTTTTTATCCTCGTTCGTCGACATGTTTGCATGTATTTTTGGGGTGCTGCTCACATATCCATACAATGCTTTCCTTCGAACGTTTTGTTAAATAAGTTTTTTTGTAAGCCTGCTTGCAGTGTTGTGGTGCACGGGCATGCCTCAATTTAGACATAGTACACGCCCCACGGCTATCCATCGTAGAGTAATTTTTTCGGGCTTTACCCTACCCTGTTGCATACTTTTATGTCTTTATTTTTTAGCTGTAATTGCTCATATGCGCGCGATATATCTTGCTAAAAAGGCGGTTTCATCTTGATGAATCACCATGCTGCAGTTACATTAACCTTTGACATTTACGAGTTATTCTTTATGTTGCAGAGGGCTTTAGTCATTCAGGAATATGCATCATTCCGACCGTTCTGGGTGTGCACATCAGACAGCGTGAGATGAGACAAAGTTGTCTCATAGAACTCGGTCTATAGCCGTGACTAGTCATGCCAGTTTGTTGACGCGCGAACTAATGTAAAACTCGACCAGAAGTAGTACAATAAGCAATGTAAAATTGCTGGCTACATAACTGATACAATGCGGCAGGTAGCCACCCAGCTTATATTATCATTGACGCCAGCTCTTGGCTTCCGCTGTTTATAACAATGCTGGCTGATGGGTCATGGGTGTTAGCGGTAGTTTAACCCGTGCCGTGCTGTTGGCCTGATTTTTCCGTTTTAGACGGGGGGCTTTTTCACGCCCCCCCCCCTTCTAACTCGGCTCCTGCGTTAGGTAGCGACACGCGGTAAGCGGCAACCGAAAGAACGTCAAAAATAATGGCGGAAATACTTGGTCATTTTAAGGTCAGGTCAAAGGTCAGGTCAACAGAGGTCATCAAAGGTTAAATTTGGTCTATTTCAACAATTTTCGAAACCCCCACCGCTAACTCAGGAACCAATAGAGCCACAACGCCGCGGAAATAGTGCATTTGATAACCCTTTCACAGATCTTTCAGAGTATTTTTGTCAGATTTGACCTCAGGTCAACGGTTTATCCTACAGGGGGCAAAAACTAAAAATAACCGTTTTCACGAAACATGTTTTTCGGTAATAACTTTTGACTCAAGAGACCTACGACATAGCGTTTGCCAGTATCGTGTTCCTCTCGTCGAGACACGTCTAATGAACTATGTTGAACTGAAAAGGTCATTTTGAAATGTTGACCTCAGGTCAAGGTCATGACTTGAACGGAAAGGGTGATGTTGCATATCAGTCGATCCGTATCGTCGAGCTGAACACATCTGATGTGTTTACACCGCTCTAGCACATCTCTATCAAAAGTTATAGCCAAAAACTGCTGGTGGCCGTTCATGAACTGAGATGACCTCAGGGACACACAGAGGGGTCACAGATGCATTTTTCCTATTCAGTGTGTCATGTTTACCTATGAACCGATGTTTGAGAGGGTTTTGAACGACATTCGTCCAAAAGAGGCGGATTTCAATTTTCTCCCATTGACCCTATTATAGAGGCCATAAGTGTTTTTTTTTTGTATAGTTGTATCAGTTTTTCAAAAGCTGAGTTAGTTATTTGAAAGGAAATTTAAAGCAACGCATATTCTTTTTGTTAAGTCTTGATTTCTTTGAGAAAAACTGAAGATGTCAAGAAGTTTTTGAAGCAAAAATGGTGTGACATGGCTTCACTAAAAAGCCATTTTCTCAAATACTTTCCAACAGGTTTCGTTTAAACGTTTAGAGAGCATGTCAACTTTATGTATGCAACGTTCTGAAAGATTTACGTCGCTGGCTAAACGCGTTTACATAGAAGCTATTGGTGAAAAACCGGAGTAGATTTTGTACCCCTCCCCAAGCTAGACGCGGGTTAGGGAACAAAAAGGAAAAAACGGGCCGACCTAAGAGGCAAATAAGGTATAGTTCTTTTTTTAAGTTTGCCCCTCATTGTAAACGTCTTTTTAAACAAAGAACGAGAATTGCTAGCTGAATTACTGAGAAAACTGGTTGGCGCACATTGATTTGACCAGATTTCACAGACGATCAATTTCATCAAATCTATTTACTATTTCAAGACTCATAGCTCGTATTTGCCAATACCTATCCCACAGGGATAGGCGACTTCTCAGGAATTATGTCTGAACTAATAAATAAATTGCACGGCGCTTAACCCGGCAGTTGCTGGGGTATTTCGCCACCCACCGTTTGCTGGGGGGGGGGGGGGGGCGTTAAACGCCCCCAGCCGATAACTCGAGAACCAATAGGCGCAGCGAAACGCACGAGGCGGCAAACGAAAGAGCGCGACGAGACGCTTCAGACGAGTACTTTAAAGTTGAATTTTGAGGTCACAGGTCGGGTCAAGGTCAGGTCAAACACCTGAAATCGGGCTTTCAGTAGCATGGACTTCAGGACTTCGCAATGGGCGCCTCTCGTCATAAACTCTGTCCAAACGGTGCACAATCCATCATATAAGGCTTACAAGAGTGTCAGCTCCATGTAGGGGTCAGTCAAGCATAGGTCAGGGTCAAGGTCAGGTCAACCGGGTAGGCACATATCCCCGAAAATCAAAACTGATATACGCAGCCTGTGACACATGTTTTATAGGTAATTTGGGGCGTAGAACACGATGGTGACATTCATTTTATCATATGTGTACGTGTTTGGCTCAAAAAGTTCAATTTAAGAAATGCATGTATCATGGTCGTGAAGTAGTCACGAAAAATTGCCAAGATTCAGTTCAAGATTATGGAAAATGCGGAACGATAATCAATAATCGAAGATAGCCATTTGATTGATCATGGTATTGGCAGTCTAATGGCGTTTACGGCATGTCTGTATGTCTATTCTGTGATTTTATATGATTTTTTGAACATATGCCGTTTTTGGTCGAAAACTCAGAAATCATGACGTCACTAAAACCTCGATATCTCAAAAAATTTTCCGACCGATTTTTTTGAAACATTGTCACAATAAACTTCAATCAATTCCCTACAGGTACCCAAAATTTGGCGCGCCTGCGGCGCGCCGTTTTTATGCTATGGCCCGGCGAAAAAAGTGGGGGCGTTTAACGCCCCCCCCCCCAGCAACTCGCGGGTTAAGTGTTCAAACATCCCCCCCCCCCAGCAGGGCGCGGGATAACGTTACATCGTCGGTGTTCAAAACTTATTTTGAAAATATTATTCATATCTACAATACAGTGTGCGCTAACCAGTTTTCTCTGTAATTCAGCTAGCAATTATCGTGCTGTGTTCAAAGAGACGTTTACAGTGAGGGGCAAACTTTAAAAAAACGAACTTTAGGTATATACTATATACACACTACTGACACTTTAAATTGACCCACATCATGAATAACAGTCTTGAATATATAAATGGATGTGAATTTGAAAGTCCAATCGATTCAACGACTTCAGATTCAGGCATCACTTCACGATAGCTGAAAAAGTTTTTATATCAAGTCTAAGCCGTTCAAAATGTTAACTAATTAAAGTGGAAATAGCAATCATATTTCTAGGAAAATAGTAAGTTGCCGTTGTGAAAGAGTAATAGCTACAGTATATTTTCGACTGAAATGTTCAAACGACCTCATTAGCCTGCAAAGAAGCGCTAAACATAGCTCCATAATTTCCGGTGGAATGAATTGCATTTATTTCTAAAGAGGCATGCCCACATCAAACGACGCAGCTGGTCAGTCCCCGCCGTTAATTACCTTCAAGCTAACGTTTTATGGACTTGTTTGAAAGGTCAGAACAGATGCTCAGATTTAAACCTTAATATCGCTTATACTACTTCGCAGTTTCATAAATAACTCAGTGTACCCTGCGAACTGATTTCACTGCGGAGTGCTTTCTGCCTTCGATCATGTTTCACTTACAAGGATAACAGTAAAACTTCATAGCACCATTCTGTCAAGACAGTGACACTGCATGAGTGGGCATTATAGCTTATACCATCGGCCAAGTCCATCCAATGTGATGCATCAGCTTAGCAATCAATTTATGAGACATGCAAAACGCACATATCGTGCTTGACCTGACACCTTACACGAAGGGGCCACTGATAGTGAACCCTATAGTGATCCATGTAGTTTGACCTGACCTAGTAAGCGCCTGAGCGCGTTTGTTAAAAATTGGGCCAAAGGTGAAATTGATTGTCATATCCATAATTTACGCTGCGCTGGAGTCTTTCAATGCTGCATCGATGATGGAGAGTCGTGAGAAAATTTGGCATCAAAATGCTTGTAGTTGTTGGGAAATTTCAAGATAATTCAGGGAAACCACGGTTTTTAGTACAGGGTGACACAAAAAAGCGGTCATCACCAAAATTCGAATAACTTCGGAAGTTTTATTCAGATCATCACCAGACTTCGGCCACTTTAGGTCACACCTATGTAGCAGACATCCACCAAGTTTCAAGTCTTCACTATGAATACTTTTAGTACAGTGTGTGTTTTACGGACGCTCCACAATGTGCTCCAGGTGAGCGCCCCGGCGCTGCAGGGCGTAGGCACACCTGCATCCGGCGGGCAAAGTTGCCGATAACCCGATAAGAATAACGTTTCAGGGGTAGCACACCCCCTGAGCACTGTCTCCAGAGGCCATTGCACTCTGTAAAGTGCACAGCCATCGGGTTATCGACAACTTTGCCCGCCGGATGCAAGTGTGCCTACGCCCTGCAGCGCCGTGGCGCTCACCTGGAGCACATTGTGGAGCGTCAGTAAAACACACACTGTACTAAAAGTATTCGTAGTGAAGACTTGAAACTTGGTGGATGTATGCTACATAGGTGTGACCTTAAGTGGCCGAAGTTTGGTGATGATCTGAATAATACTTCCGAAGTTATTCGAAATTTGGTGATGACCGTTTTTTTTGTGTCACCCTGTAATACGCTGTCATGATAACGAAACCACCATGAAATTCGTGACCAATTTGTAAACAGCAAACTGTGTGTGCTTATAAATTGCACGTTCCAAATGCAGTCATTGTTTGTTTATGAGTTACTCTCTGTGATATTTCACACAAATGCACTAGCGCTATCTGACACCAAACTAAACCAGTTCCGTCATTAATTATTTACATGAACATGTATCTCGTGCTCTGAACACTGTGGAGGCCTCAGCCGCATTCGTAAGTAACTCTATCCTATTTGCAATTCATGGGACTCAGCTCTTTTGATAGTCGCATGGCGCGCTGCCCAGAGGTAACCTCATGTCCCGATCCAGTGGCTTTAGATCGAATATCCCTCGCCATAGCCACGGTGAATTGGGCTTGGCGTTCACATGATAGGCTCTCTAGAGATGCATTTACAGAGCGCACGTCTAAAGGCTATTTGCGGGGTCAAGCTGCCACAGGCACGTGCTCAGATGAGTCCACAGACTGTCCGGTGAATGGTCTTAAACACGGCAGACAGCGTTCGTCTGCTGATCGTTGAACTGTGATAGCCAGGTGCGCTGGTGGCTTTTCTAGTTGAGGTTTATTTGCCATTGGGTCTACAGTGCAGGGATATTTCTATCTCGCACTCCTCTGAGATGCAAAGATAAGAATTTTTATCTCCGCATCCCTCTGAGATGCAAAGATAAGGTCTCGAGGGTTCATAGCGAAAAATCAAGAGTTCAAGTGACGATGGGTCAATAACCGAACGACATTGTTTATGGATGAAACTTATCAAATAAGAACAAAGTGCTCTGAATCTATTTTTACATATATGAATGCATTTAAATATAGTATTTTATTAATTAAGAATAAACCTCAACATAGAAAGATATAGGATTCCTCATGGCTCACTCGTGGAAGATCGGATATCTTTTCCTATCCTTTTCTTAACCCGCTTGGAAAAGATATTCTTATCTTCCACTCGGAGCCATGAAGAATCCTCTATATCTTCCACTCGGAGCTATGAAGAATCCTCTTTATCCGTTTTATCGGTGACCATGATTAAGAAATGTGATCACGGCTTGAGGTACAATAATAAACTATTCAATAAATAACGGAATGATGAGTATAAATGAAATGTCCCGTGGGCTGACAGTTATTGACAGAAAGTTTTATTTAGATATCAAAACCCAGATTCATGGTCATGATTCCTCTTTCACCAACGGTGCCAATCACATGAAAGAAATGTGATTTGATAGAGCTGCGGTTTTCTAAGAGATGAGTAAAAACTCACCATCATGGAGCTCATGAGCGAACTGCATGTGTGAGAAAAATATGCCATCAATGGCACTTCTTGTCTGTATTGAAGACGGCTGCTTCAGCACATTTGTTTCATTCGTTATATGATTTTGCTCATGGCACGTATCTAATGATAATTAAGCGAAAAAGAGTTCCATGTTATCAGCATTATTTTGTCTGTTGTGCCATTGACAAGCCCACGTTCTAGAGGTGGTGCCATTTCATTAGCCTTATTATTGTAGGAAACTAAACACTAATTAAACTGCGGCTTCACATGTCCCCAGGTGCCGGTTTTAGCATCACCTTATTCCGAATTGCATGGATTCCAACAAATACATGCTCCATACTTGCTATTTAAAAAAGAAACCAAACGATAGCTTTTCAGGCATGCTATTTTTAGAGCTGTTTTTTGCGTTCTAACGGATACCGTTTAGGTCAAGCTTCAACACCATGCCATTTGAAAGTCACGTTTATTGTCCGTGGTGGACAATAAGTGTCCATTTGCGATGGTTTGCAGTAATATAGGTAAAATAATAAATAATAAAAATGATAAATAATCATAATTAAAAATCAACTAATCCTCAGATACACATAACAAAAATAAGGTTCTCAAGTCATTTTAGTCGAGTCAGTTGTTAAGTCCAAAAATTGCAAATTTAAAGGGACCCTCCCACCTTCAAAATAGTTAATGAATTGGCATGAAAGTGATGTCGCTCGGTTCAGGAAGAGCGAAAACGAATATCTACCAAATTTCATCGAAAAATATTCACCGGTTTCCAAGATATTAGACTTTTACTATTGTTTACTTTCTGGGATCTCCGCTGTTCCTAGCGACTTTATTTGAAAGTGCGGCATTTGTTGCGCGCAAAGCAGCATATACCACCGCGTGCTACCAAACGTTTTAGTAAAAGATTTGAAAATCGTTAGACCTCCGCTGACGTCACAAATTCTAAGGGGGCATACCAATGCATTAGCCCCTTAGAATCCGAAAACTGCAAGTTTGAAATTCCATATCTCCGAATTAAAGCATTTTTCGATGTTGTGAGTGCCCAAACCGGTATTTTCAGGCCATGGCCACCAATTTGGCTATCTCAACTCAAAACTAATGTTAAGGTGGGAGGGTCCCTTTAAACATGATTTATAAAGTCCCTTTTGAGCTGAAAAAGGATTTCAAACAAATATGCTCCAATATATTCAGACTATACGCCGCATTCATATGCTGTGACGTATATATTAGAGTTCAGTGGCTGTGACCTGGGGACTCGATCAGCAACAAGCCTTGCTTAGCTGGAAGAGCTCCCCTGGTCACACCATAAACACCAGCATTATATATGACCAGACTAATTTTTACCTGTATGCACAGAAACCCCCTTACCCAATGTATGTATGAAAGTATGAGTGCTCATTTCGGGATCGTAGTGGGAGGTTCAGTCAATGGCTCATTAGTCCATTGACTACTTTCTGCCTTCTTCGTATGCCATACTAGCAATCCCTGGCTCTTATCATTTCTTCTTTGCTTGTGTTTGGTTTATTTGCTGTCTTAGCAGGGAGTGCCGCGACATTTATCTCCTCAGTTTTTCTGGTGTTAACGTAAGGGTTCTGTTGTCGCTGGGCTCGACCGCGGGACACCTGGTCACTTGTTCATGGGTGGCGGTGTAATTCTTTAAAAAAAAATATGTGTAGCTGTGACCATGCTAGTACCTACACTTGCTACAACACATACACAAACCCAAGGATACCCGTGACTGGTGAGGGCTGGGGCACTCCTCAATCCCACGGTTGCAAAACTATGACCAGCCCATCCGCTGGCAGCGCTCAGGGGACACCGAGTTATAGCACCTTGGACAATGGACATCTGAGGTGACCTAGACCTGACATGACCAACTCCCTCTGTTCCCAGTGGCGGTGGTCGTAGCATTTTTCATCTGCTGGGCACCATTCCACGCGCAGAGACTACTAGCGATCTCCGTGCCGGACAAGCGATCAGAGGTCGTCAATGCCATTATGCAGGTAAGATCACTACAACAACGAAAACGGTGGTAAGAAACCGCGGTGTAATGTCATTTTGGCTCAACTGTTTGCGCATTTCGAGTTTTGTATTTGACATTTTGCATGTATGCAGAACGTAATAAATTATTCATGTAGCTAATATTTTAGGAGAATACATAGCTAGTAAACTCAAGTTCGCGCCATAAATCTAAGCCTGATTCTTATGTAGAAGTCTGATGATATACGAGAAAATAAACGAGCTCTGTTTGTTTCTCGTCCTATCCTGTAGTGATAAATTGCCGTTTTTAAAATGTCTACCGTGTCTTTGCAATGTGAGGCTGAATGTTTCACATTTATGCAACTATATTATAACTTGTGTTCCTTGAAGCATATCCAGGACTGGAATCAAGCCATTACGTTTTCAACCACCGCGTTAAATGCCTTTTTCATCGAGCAGCTGATAATCATAATGCCTTTAATGCCTTTTAATGAATAATTGAATGATACTCTAGAGTTTCAATCCGTTAATTATGATAATAAGTTGCACCATGACTACTTTCTGTTTAAATTGGTATCGAAATGTCTTAGCGGCCAGTGACCTCCCAACTGTTTATGTGCTTTCAGAGAACCTTATTTTAACTGAGGATGCCGTCACAATGCACTCCTATAAATGCGATGGTGTTTTATTTCGGAGATAGCCGGTATACCGGGGCTTGGCAGTCAGTCATGCAAAAAAGTAGATCTATCGTTACAGCCCTGGGAGCATCAGGTTTCAACCAAACGGCAAACGCACGCTTATACCCATCATCGGCACTTTATTTTTTGCCGTTCGGATGTTATGTGTCGCGCATATGTAGTTTGTTTTTGTGCCTAAGACGGCGGACAGAAATTGTGGGCTGCGGAATATTGTGGTGCCTCGTCTATAAACTTTCGGGTGAGCCTCAGCTTGACTCGTGTAAGAAAAGCCGACCAGCCACTCGGTTCCTAGTTTCCACAGAAAGTAGCGCGATGGCTGTGAACTTGGAGGAACGGTCTATTTATTCGGACGTTAAAAATCAAACTGAGATCTGATGCGGAAGGGCTGTGGTATCGTATTCTTCGGTTTCAATTGTTCCACCAAATGTGGTCGTCATTGCCAATAGATTGGGGATTTCACATTGTGTTTTTTAATTTCACCGTGTCTCCCGACGTTTGTAGGGTTGAAAGAAAAGAATCGCCTTTTGAAGACCACCATTCTATTTCGCTCGATCGGTTTATAAAAGCAATGTTCGGTGCCTAGGACGCTGCAGTCTGTGCCCTTGCACAAGTCAAAGTGTCCAATAAACCATCCAAACTACCCCGTCTTATGTGGTGGCTGACTCGACAAGTCTGGAGCTTTATCTGCAGTTATATACGATAGTGCCGGCCCGAGCACTGGCTGGCCACAGGTTATCGCTGTATTTACAGGCACTGCATTTTCAGCTTAAGTGCGGTCTTCTGGGAGAGTAAACTGACATCTGAAATGTCGTCAAATCCGAATAAATGGGACCAGTCGGAAATCTCAGCTAAGCATATGTTGTGACTCAATAGATGCCTTCGATTGCTGCAAGTAGGTACCATGCTGTTGTTGCCACTCCAATATATGCAAACGAAATATAGGCCACTAGCTCCAGTATTTCCATGTGAAAACGTTTCCAAATGCTTCGGCTGGTTTGAGTGTTGGCTTGTGCACAAGGTTTTTGAAAATATAGATAAGATATATGAATACATCGCACACGGTATGTCATCAGTGAAAATTGGAGTTTTACTCAATGCGACATTTCAAACGTTTTAGAAAGGAAATAAGCCCAATTGAGTAATCCTTCAACTTCGAGTAACTTCCTTTTACGTCACATGACTGCCCGGTACCACGAACTATAACACAAAATTAAATATGGAAATATTTCATTTTCATGTCAATATGGCGACCTGCGCTCTCACAGTACTGCATCTTTTATCGCCCATAAGCATTTGATAGACGTCTGTAGACAAACGTCTCCATTTTGAGTGCCGAAACGACCGTCTAATGACCCTGTTCGGCGAATACTTCCTGTAAGTTCTCTGATGTCTAGACACAAGTTCAAATACAGGCTTACCGGGCCTGGGGAGAGTTCGCCACCACTAGATGTTTATGTAGATTTCTAATGTACCCGGGCACTAAGCTCGAGTACGTTTGAGAGATTTAAGACCAGCGTGTAGCCTCAGAGGCCAAACCCACTCTTGAATAAAGCCGTAATTCTTTTGTTGCCGGGAACTAATGGAATATGCCATCTAAATGTGTCATTGATGGTCGTATGTTCTTCTCACCGACCAATGTTGGCTTTGCCAATGAATCAGTCAGCGTCCAGTTGGATTGGCTGCAGAAAAGAATTCAAAGTGAAACGAAACGCGGGTGAACACGTTACGGGTCATTTTAAGTTGCTTATTTAGCAAGAGTCTGCCCAGCCTGTGAGTGTGTCGACATAATTAATGAATCGTAAGATTTTCAGTCAAGGGAATCTTTGTTCGGCATTGCATTCCATTCCAGTATACCATAATAGGCTATTCATAGATTAGCTATCATTAATATTACTTGAACTTCAAAACCTCGCATGTAGCATACATGTAGTAATATGGTATTTACTGGATGAAGCCAAACACCCTGGTAGATTGAAAAATGAATAATTAAAAAGACACACATGAAAGGTATCAATGTGTCAAAAATATGCCATATTGTATTGTTGGTACAACCTTTACTGCATCTGGCTTATAAACAAGCTTCTAAGCGACAATATTGTTACATTGAAAGTAATCGAATGCCATGTTCAGCCTGGGCTTGATATAGGTAAGATGATACTTGTCGAATATTCCATTACTTATTTTTACATTTATCTTACTATTTTTACATATCCTGTTCCCGTATACTATTCCGCCATTCCGACGTATCGCAACATTTTGGCTAGTGTCGGGTTGACATACTACCCGACAAGCTGAATGTTGTCCTTTCATCCATATCTGCCGCCGGGCAGCTGTGCCAGTCAGCTGCTGGATTATATCCGGCAGCTGCCGGCTCTGTGGCAGCTGTTGGCAGCTGCTGGCAGCTGTTGGGAGCTGCTGGGACCAACCAGTGGGGACATTCCTCACTCAATCTGTGTAGCTCGGGCCATGCCAGCACCCGCCAAGACACATACGCGCACGAGCAGTTAAATAAATGACCCCGTGTTGTTATGTGATTTGGCCTGATTGGTTGGTTTTATTGGGATTAATGAGAATGCTTATAATCTTGGATCGCGATCAGCCTTAGTGTGTGCTTTGGGGTAGCTCTTTCTTTGCAATGATGGACTATATAGCAATACTGTGTGTGTGATGAGCATGAATCGCTGTCGTTAAAGAGGGTATTTGACAGTCAGCGAGTACATGTTGAGGAGATTCTTCTATCTATCAAGCTCGTTTAATCAAAAATCAATAATGATGACGTCTTATAATTTTCACGCCTTGCCTCGAAAGTAATGATTCGTTGAGCTAATGAGTCGTAACGGGTCTCATTAGATTGTGGACATTCAAATCCATGATGAATGACCACATAAAATAAATGAATCCAAAATAAATAAAATAAATGAAAAAATGACCACATAAAATAAACGAATAAACCAACGAGAAGAGTTTGGTAAGTAATGTTGGGTAGACATATTTTTTAATATTATATGAGATATAAGACAACGATCAATTCGATCAAAATATCTATATCAATTTTTATCTTTTTTCAAATTTTTGTTCAAATTTGATGTCCCGGGGCTGGTTGAAGAAATGCTTATTTGATCCGTAAATGCCACATTATAGTAGTAAATAATACCAGCAATATGCTTGTACATGGGGATAGCTGAATATTGAAAACATCATTTGTAGTCCTTAATGAAATAGGTAAATGAATGACTCACATTTGTTTATTTTTGTTTATATATTTCTCCGTCCACCAAGCTTCACATGCCCCATTCCCGGGAAGCTCATTATCTTCCATCATTTTTCTTTTTCATTTTGATTTTGAATTTTGAAGTAAATAAGAAATCAAATGAAAACGAGTACTTGTCAAATTTACGTGCTTAAATAATTGCGCGATTAATTATGAGTTAATTATTGACGAAAGAGAAGCCAATGACTGCAATTAACTCGCCTTCTTATTAAAGGCGAGTAATTTCTGAACAGTTTATTTTCAAGCGCTGTGGCGTATTGAGTTCGATGATTCTGCGTCTGAGGTTTCTGTCAAAGTTGTATTCAAATGTATTCAAAAATCCCCTGGCCATGAAGCGTGATGGAGTGTCGGCGATTGGTTAGTTTGGATGTATAATAAATGCCTACGCATTGATTGTTTTATTAATGTGCTTCTCTGAAGCGCCGGAGAGCCAGCGACTGGGCGACACTGGGCGTCTGTGGCAACAAGACACAACAATTTGCAATAAATCATAGATCGCGACCGGCGACCCAGGCGTCCATCCCTGTCGTTCGCGACAGGGGTCGATCGATCGACCTCAGGCGAGCGATAGGTCATTACATCGGATGTCAGCTGAAAGAGGTCAGGCTGGTTGTCTTCTGCACCAAGGCGCCCGGCATGTGATCGAAACAAGCAACAAAGGAGCTGCTGTCACACGGCAAAGTACCAACATCTGTGGAAGCGCCATTTCTGCAATTTTCGCTACTCTTTGCTAGAATCCGCGCTAGCTGCTGAATGGGAGCGAGGATGGTATTGTCGATGGATGAATGCACTTTTTTTCGAGCAGTAGATTACAGGAAATATCATGACGAAGCATTGACGGTAGGTTTCCGATACCTTGTCGATTCAAATCGCAATGGGATAATTCGCTCACCAGCACAAAAAGAAAACTAAAGTCTGGCAAATATAAGAAAACAAGAAATGAAAGTGCAGCCCTTAATGCACGAGCCTTCATATTTCCTCCAATATATCCGAGAACATTTCTATCAAGGCTTTTCAGCTAGGTATATTAGCTCCGTGCTTAGGGCCCTGACATAGGCTCTGAACTACGAATTTACAGTGATAAAAACACGTGCAAAGTGATTCAGGCACTTTAACACCGTCGCTTCTCACGCGCACCTTACTTTAGATCAGGGCACATCATCTGACCCCAAGCTGCTGACAGTGATTGTTTTCATTTGACCCTGAGATTAACCATGTCGTTTTGTGTTTCTCTGTCGCAGGGTCTGTATCGGGTCTCTGGAGTACTCTACTTTGTCAGCACATGCGTCAACCCCATTCTCTACCATATTATGAGCGCCAAGTTCCGACAAGCCGTTCGGGTAAGTCTCTATGAATATTTGCTCCGCCACCCTCATTTGCTTTTTTGCATTTCCTACCCTTGCTTACAGTGTTATGATTGGTACAATGCGTGCATTATAAGCAAAGCTTTCAGGCTTGTGCATTCTGATTGGCCGGCCTTGGAAGTTTGTTCTTTTATGGCATATCGACAAAGTACAAACCCCTTTGTGGCAGCGGACCGATCGTGACCTTGGATCAGGGTTGATAAAGGTAGGTAGGAATCGATTTATTTGTCATGTTATACGATGCTCAAAATGGCACGCCGCATGGGCCATCGGTCCGGAAATTCATTGTTCGCATGTCATACCTCAAAAACCTTAATGAGCAATTTTTGTTTTCTTTACGGAAAACATAGCCCAGGCCATAAAATTCGTTCTTACTAGGCAGATTGTAACACATGTTTTGTTTCATGTCATAGTCGGATTTTTAACCTGTCAGATCGCTGTACATAAGTGCGCAATTGAAAAAGTCACGAGACAAGCTATAGGGAAGAATAGAAAGTCAAAAGGTAGAATCTATTTTCAGCTGGCGGGCGTCTAAGGTCTTTACATTTCACGTGCGCTTTTCATTTAAGCGCCTCAAGTGATAAGACAGGCTTAAAAATCCGAGTGTTCAATAAACTCGTTCAACACAGGAGTACTCACCTGGCAAACATTGGCATGCACGATGCATCATGTTTCATTAGTGTTTTAGTGCTTGTCATGCTTTGTTTGTAATGCATCAGAAATGTTTCAAAACGTTTCCTACACGTTTAGACAGCTCGGAAAGTTGATCGTGGTAGCAACTGAAAAGTGAAGACGTATTTGTTCCATACATGCTGCACTTACTTTTTATTTGTGGTAGCATGCTGGGAATAATTGTGATGCATTCGCTATAAATATAACTACGTGAATAAACGTATGTACTTACATTGTAAATGCTATACTACACACACTTTCATAGCAATGTTCAGCTTTATTCATGGTATAACTACTTTGGCAGTTGGCATTTATAGCTATACCTACGATGCAAAGATTGATATACGTACTATGCTAGTATAGGAAAACTGATATTGACTGATTATATAACGCTTGAAAGACTGCCCATAATTATGGAGAGTGTTTGTAAGTGATGCGTATAGTATTGAAACGTGGTTCACTTTTTCAACCGATGATTTCCAAGGATGCAAATATGGATTGATAGCACATGCTTGTTTTGTTGTTCCTTCAAATAATTTTATTACCTCTGTTTTCCTGTTCTACTAATATAATGAAAAATTTTATTTTCATAGGTACTGCAGCTTATTCCAATTGCCTGAGACCATTGCCATGAAAACTTTTTGCTCCAATAGGCTATGCAATGACTATGTAATATACGTGATCAGTATCTACACAAAGACAAACGAACTGGTCTATCTATTGATAAAAACATACATAACTATTGCCCATAAACACTTCATTTGAGACGCTCTAGTTGATGTATTTTGGAGCCTCGCGAAGCTTGTATCATCGCGGAGCTTGTAGCCGGTCCCGTAGCTCAGTCGGTAGAGCGTTGGACTCCGCGTGGTGAGAGCACGCGTTCCCGGTTACAACAGCCCGGGTTCGAAGCGCGACGGACGCTTGACGTTTATGGGCCTCCTGACAGGTAAAGTTGCGGTTGGTGGCAGGCCGTAGCCAGGCGAAGTCAGTGAGGGGACCGGCCGTGCGTGGCTGTGTGCGCACGTTAAACTTTGAACTCCAAATTCTGCCATAGAACTGGGATTGCGCGACCGGAGGGTAGAGGTCAGGGTCAACCCAACAAGCTTCGCTTAGCGGTGGCTCTGTCCTTGTGAATCCTTCCAATCAAAAAGGTTTGGACTAAATCTATTTTAAAAAATATATGGCGCGGAACATAAATTGGTGCGCTGTTCAATTGTCTGTTCAATTGTATTAGCGGTCACACCGCGAACACCTGCCGGCAAATCAGCAGCGTGCTTTTCGAACGTCGTCATGGCAACAGACAAATTGTTTCGAAAGCTACCTGCTAATCCTCGGCGAATAACTGCACCGATATCGGTCCAGGGTTGATGCCAGCTGATAGAAATGCAGTATTACAGAAATAATTACAAGTTCGCTTGTAAATGCCAGCAGGGAAGTGGCGATGCAGGCCCGTTTAGCTTTCTAAACGGGCCTGCATCGCCAAAAGTGCCAAAAGTGTGTGACAAAGGTATTGTCTGGCATTGACTAAGGTCATTGACAATTGCTTCTACATATATTTGTAAACGGGCTTACGCGAGAAAAACAATGTTTGATAGCTGCTGTTAGGCGAAGCAATTAGACACTTTATGTTTAGTTCCATGCAAGCTTGAGCAATCCTGTTAATAAGTTGGCGTGCTGTTTGTACATAAACATAATAATATGGTAAAAGAAAAATAATGAACTGATTTCATTAACTCGCGGCCAGTGATAGCGCATATCTGCGCGAGTCTGTCCGTGATTAAAGTAAAACGGTTTGCTGACAGAGATTAAGCACCGACGTTTGCCAATGTCAAGCGTTTTGGCAACAAGCCACGTTGCGAGGAGCCAAGTGCACTCAACTCATTCCCCCTTGCAGAAACGTGCCCAGGCTAGGAGGGAGAGGAAGACGTGTGGGAGGGAGGGGAAGACGTGATCAGGGGCACAAATGACGCATCAAGCTTTTACTTGAAAAGTGGTTATAGATTGGAAACTTAAGTCGGAAGTAGATGAAATTAATGATGCGTTGATAAATTGTTTCCTTTTTTAAATCATTCTTTGTATTATAAATGATACCCATACTAGTGTTGGGCTTATGGACACCCGACTAATTAATTGTATGACAATCTTCTATGATCCTATGCAGTGCTAAACCGATGACAAAATTTGTTGTATGTGTTATTAGCACCAACATGCTGCGAATATTCAAATAGTTTTTCAAAGGCAATGTGAGTAGATGATTTAGAGCCAATTGCATACCAACCGGAACAAGGCCTTTTGATTCCATTGACTCTTTCCGCTGTCAGGATATTGCATGCGATAGTCTATTCAAATGCATTAAATCACGCTCCCATCACGCACCTCCCAGTGTACGATTGAGGCGAACTTTAAATAGGCTCTCGCACGCAGTTTCCTGGCTGCCGAAAGAGTCTGCTTCGGCCGTGACTGCGTTATATTTAGTTGCGAATGTTTTGATTCAAACGACTGCTTATGAAACTGGCAGTCAGTATTTAATAAGTCACGGAATGGCATAAAGTCCGCTGGCGGAATATTTTCAATCAACGAAAACGGCCGCCCTAACTAAGTTCAATTAAAATAGCCATACGTAAGGGGAAATGCCACTTCGCAGTGCTCTCTCTCTCTCTCTCTCTCTCTCTCTCTCTCTCTCTCTCTCTCTCTCTCTCTCTCTCTCTCTCTCTCTCTCTCTCTCTCTCTCTCTCTCTCGCTCTCTCTCTCTCTCTCTCTCTCTCTCTCTCTCTCTCTCTCTCTCTCTCTCGCTCTCTCGCTCTCTCGCTCTCTCGCTCTCTCGCTCTCTCGCTCTCTCTCTCTCTCTCTCTCTCTCTCTCTCTCTCTCTCTCTCTCTCTCTCTCTCTCTCTCTCGCTCTTTATCTCTTGCTTTCCTTTCTCAACCTTGTCACTTTTTCTTCTTCCTTTTTTATCCTTCTCTGTTTTTTTTCTTTTCGTGTACAACCACTCGCAATTCTTTTCTCGTCTGTTTTGTCCGGCATTGTCAAGAAATAAAATACCTCTCCACTTGGTCGTACTTAACAACTTTCAGTTTGAAGATGACCTTCCTATCGATGGTTTTCAGATTCGTACTGCATTCTTTACTACTGATCAGTATCTAAGTCTAGAAACAGCCATGGAACCAATTTTTCAGATTTATGAACGATGGTCAGATGTAACCTGATATCTTCATTGTTCTTGAGTACATTCTATGTTTAGTAACATGCTTTGCCTTTTCTGTCTCACAGGACACCTTTGGAGAGACCTGCAAAAGACTGTGCTGCTGTTCAGGTGAGTTTTATAGCTTGCAATGGTGCATTGCCAGATACATTTTTGTTGTTTTTCTTTTCGCTTAGTTTTTATTTTCCCAACCAAATCTATGACTGGTGAGATAAATCGAAACATTCCTATTATAGGCATATTGCAGTGCACCTATACCTCCACTGTCCTTTCTGAATTAATATTCTATTTTCATGCCTATCCTATTTCATTAGTCTATCCCCTCCTTTTTCTTTCCTTCATTTTTATCGCTGCTTATTGAAGTATTTCTTACATTCTCGAGAGTTGTCATCATTTTTTTGCGTTTCATTATTAGTATCTTTGTTTTCATGTCTTATGGTGCGTTTAGTTAGCTTCAAGTCCAATTTCCAGAAATAATGTATTTTTGCAATTGCCCCCAGCGTGCGCATCCAATCCAAGTTAACCGTTACTCCGTAGCTACTGTATTATTATTTACTTTGTAAATAAGGTTTGCAGGATAATGCTTAAGCGTTATTGTCCCGCTCCATATGCTGAAGTAAAGTGTAGTTCTAGCATGCTTCGGTTGTAGCCTGTTTGTACACGGTGTAGTGCTTTGTGAGCTAAGGCTGCGTTAGCCGGTGAATAAATGTAATTTTCAAAACAGCCTGCTCATTTTTCGCCCAAACCGCCTTTTGGCGGTGGGTGGAACTCCTTTTGGAGCAGTTTTCGGTGTTTTTTTTGCCCTTTTTTGGCCTGGCTCGCGGCTGACCGGCAATGGTGCTCGCTCGGTAGGGACTTGCGATCGAGAGGATTCAGTCAGTCAGCCGTCAACAAACATTACTGGACTGACGCCATCGGCCGGTGAGCCGCCCAAGCCGCCGCCGCCGCCCCCGCCCCCCGCCGCTTGCCACCACCCACAGCCTCCGTCCGCCGCTCGCGTTCTGGAGCGAGCGCTTGAGCACCAGCGCATAGCACGCACTAACGCTCTTCCAATAACACTTGCTCGTCCTGTCGTAGCTAGAAGCTCGTGAGGTTAACTCCTGTCTGACATTTTCTTTGGTGTCGTTTCAGTTGGTTGTGCTTGACTGACTAATTTTTAGCTTATACCGTGTTATGCACAAGCTCAAGTTAGATATGCACCGTACTTGGAATCTAAGTTGCTCTGCTTAATACCAAACATAATTGTTTCGTTTTCACTGGAAGCAGCTTTTCATTTACGACTTTTTCCAATTCACGCGTCAGTTCTTAAAATGAACACCAGCTGCCCCGAAAGTATTGGCACAGCTGACGTAAGTTAATGCTCTGCTAGTTTAGATAAATATCACAGTATATTCCACGTAAATCCAGCCACCATTAAATAGCGTATGGAAAACTTTGTGCGTTATTTATCATGCGCAATGTGCAACGCTTCACGTTAGCCAACTGTGGGAGACGTTAGCAATTTGTCTAGCTCAAATAATCTTGCCGTCTCTTGAGCTCCAGCTTTGGCTGAAAGTGATAACTGGCACGAGCACATATGCATTGCGGAAATTTTTGGACGTGCATGTCTACATGTAGTGTTTGCTGGATATGGTTGTGCGTTGGATCCTGAGCTGAAAATTGTAACTATCAAGTATTTGTATCATCGATGAAGTAAATAGAAGTTGATAGAAGTAAACAAACCAATGTGCTAACGAGGAAGTAAGCAGGTACTTGGGCCTCGCATAAATCTGACAACTACCAATCAACTTAGTCATCATTCGTTATCTTGAGTTAAAATGTCATGTTCAAACAACACGTACGTGAAAAAGATGCGCGAAATACAAAATCGTTTAAAAAGAAAAAAGCGACTGCCAAAAGCCGATATAAAGCAAAAAACATTATCACTTGTCAGCTACTTGTATTCATTCTTTGACAGTCTATTATAGTTTGAAACCAACTTGAAACCTTTCGTCTATGTTGGCTGAAAGATATGACACGTTCCTTCACTTAGCACGCTCTATTATTGTCGCAAAAGCCGCGCTGCTTTCCAAACACTGGCCATTTCAGAGCTAGCGAAACTGATTCTAGAGGCGTGGAAATGTTTGATAATGCTCCACCCTTTTCTGGCTTTGAGCCAGAGTTGTTAAGTGTTTTGTCGGGTGCAGTTACCTTATCTTGCTTCTGCAACGTGAGATAGGATGAGCATTTCAACTACTTAACAGACACAAATTGAGTGTGACGCAAAGTTTTTGATAGTATATGTGTGTTGGGTGTGAGCTTGACCTTTTGATCACTCGGAGTGGTTCTAACAGCTGGACTTTAAAGTGCTTTATGATGAAAAGTTTAGGACTGACACGGCATATGTCAATAGTCATTTGTTTTCATAAGTTGTTCTGTCCAGCAATACAGATACATTAGCAGAAAAGTTTTCTTTAGCAAACCAAACAACGTAAAATGTGGCATTTCTTGTATGTGAATAGCTTTTGTCAATGCTGCAATCGTCAAATGCAACTTAAGTTTATCTCAAACCGACGAATACAACTTTACTGCTCACCATAGATAAGCACGAAACAAGTAGGTACTAGCTCACTTAGGAAGCGCGGCTATTGTCTCATTAGACTGACGCCAAGATCTAAATTCGAGGCTCTAAACTCAATTCTGACTTCTGCAGCTCGGAAAATGACAAAACTTCAAAAGATCGAATCAGTGTAATCATGGTCATTGTGGCGCGGCACACCAGGGAGAGATCAAACAAGTTTGGTACAAATAAGTAACAACATCAAAGTCTGGCTAATTCGTCAACATTGGACGGCTGATATGATACAGCATGATAATCTTTTCGACAGATAGCTTTATATGGTGGACATTTAATTGAAGCCTGTTCCTCTCGGTGCCCAAAACATGCCATTGTTCAAATTGGGCTGATGTTAAATAAGAAACTAAAGCGTTTGCAGCCTGCATATGCATGGAATATAAACACTACATCCCTGCACAACTTTTTAATTTTATTAAGAATTTTCTACTAGAGGTGGGTAGATAAAAGACATTGGCTGTCATGCCTGCTTTACCTCTTTACTTGTGCTTAGCATGCTCAACTACGTGCCTTGTATGTATGATTTATTTTTCATCAGCACTCTGCAACATCTAAATGTTATTTTTTTACTGCGTTTCACACATTCAGCAACCCCTGTGTAACCCGAATGCATACCTGCATTGTCAGGTATTTACATATGAGCGTCACCTGAACTGAGCTTTCCCGCACTTTTCTTCCAGACGGTGGGTCGGAAAAGATGCCGGAACTTCTCGCCACGGTCGATCCTCTGCTGGCCAAAAACACCACCGTCACCCGGGTCTGAGCCGCCGCCCGACCGCCACCATGACGCCATTATGACGTCACAATGGCGTCGTTTCTTTCCTTTCATCGCTTCACTTGACCGGTTGATGTGCGTCGCAAAAATCAGCGCCGCTCGACAGACGACCTCGTTTAGTCTGAGCATCTAAGTGAGTGCAACAGTCGCCGGTTGGTCACGCAAGACCACATCTCGCAGAACATTTAGCCGCCGCTATTTGGAGCCTCTGACGTCATCACTGACGTCATTTGAGCTCGGAGTCGGCCGTCGGATGCTACGCAGTGGCGGGAGTGACCTGTTGCTTTTTAAACGACACTGATAATAAGTGATTGGCGTAGAGCGGAAACAAAGGAACGCTGTCATGGCGATGTATGATATCCGTTGGGTAAAGACTCTATGATCCGATGGTGCTGCGCTGCAGATGACAATCGTAGCGCATGTGACGAGATATGACGCTGTGTAGTGATGCGTAGCGATGGAGCTCGAGTCTCGCCGATTCGAGTCTCGTATCCATCGAAGCTGAATCCAATGTTTCCTCGGATGAAATCATTTGTAGTTTTTTTTTTAGAACAGAGGTGCATTTATGTTTTCTTTTTTTCATCAGCATGCATTTTGTCTCACATAGCAGTTGTGGTGCCAGGCTGGTTTTGAGTGAGCAATGGTAGATGTGAAGGCTGAATACTGAACAGGTCATTTCAGCGTGTGTATTGTTCGAGTTGTGTGGTTGGACTTTTGGCCATATTTTCGCGCGTATGAGAGGTTTATGAATCTCGTCTTGTTGGCCTGTAGATGTCAAGTACTTGGCTTATTTGTCGTATAACTGGAATAAGTAGGTTGTTGACGTTCAACATTTCGGTGCAGCGAAAACAAGTACCTGGTAGTTGAGAGAGAAACGGGCTGGACCCAGGCTTTTCGCCAAACGTATGTGCAATGTTTTGCTCTGCATAGCTCGCTTATTGTACATATGTACATTTAGTATTTTTGAATCGCAGTATCAAGTTGAAATCTGCCACAGATAGATATATGTGATTGGTCGGTATGCCTCGTGGTGTAGATATGTGTTTTTTTGTTGTGTGTTTTGGTGAATATGTCCCATCTTTTATGTTATCATGGTACCTTTAGTCACTGACATTGTATATGGATAAGATGGTATTGAGATCAAGAACTTAATCTGAAATGTGATATACGTCGTTATAATTTATGACGCTATCTATTTCTAAAATTCGCTGCTGTGAATAGGATTGTGTTATTTTTTGTCATGATCTATGTGTATTGTATAGATTTAGAGAAGTATTTTTGGCAGCATCTGGAGAACTCGTGTTAGGATGAAATTAATTGGTTTCTGGCTAATAATGGCTCAAATAGTTCCGTATGAGATACTTCAGTCATTATTGCAGTGAGCATATATCAAAAAAGTTCATTGTCACAATGCAATAGTAGACTATCGAATTCCATAAGCTTGAGCGGGTTGTTGGCTATGGTGACGTTATTCTGGCTAAACCTGTTGAGATCAATGGCTCCTTTTATAATACAGATACGTAACTGCTTTCGAGAACGGTATAAGTCGTAGCACCAAAGCCTTTACTTTTTCAATCTTATGTGTATTGCAACTCGACGAAATTTTATGTTACGAGCATTTAGTAGACAGTACTATCCACTTATGGTCAATTTTCTTCTCCATTCATAGTATTGTTTATCTAAAAATGACTTTTCTTACACGATAAAGCTATTTGTGTGATAAGCGCAAGTCTGGAAAAGCCCAGCCCTACCAGCAACAACATACCAGAGCGTTGCATGATGAAATTTAGCTTGATATTCCCCACCTACACCATTTAAATCTTGCTAAAAAAGATGAAAATTTGTATTTTTAATTGGTGCTTAGACTATGCCACTCTCGACGGCCGAAAAAATAACGTTACGGGATGCCCTGTGAGCTTTCTTAATAAGCGTAAGGAGAACTGTTTAACGTGAATATCTCTATCGAAGGTTGCTACTGAATATGCTGCAAGCTATCGAGGGCCATTGGATGGTATATTTCAGGAACATGACAATTTAGTGTGAACGATGACATTTGTCGCCAGCTACATGTCTTTGTGTTCGATGTAGTGTCGCGTCGGGCATCTTCAGACAGCGCCCGCAGGAATCTCCGACAAATGTAGCTCTGCTCCAGCTCACATCTCTTTTTGGTGGGCTTATTCCGTGTTGTGCGCCGCCCGACGGGACATTAGGTGTTTCCGTGTGCTTTCCGCGTTGGAACTGGCTCGTGGCGGCGCTGCCCCGAGCCAGACCCTCCAGTTCTGCTGCCGCCGGGTTCAAATACACCATTTGTCTGGATCGTTTGTAATTGCCGGGAAAAAGGTTGGCCGCTGGGCGCCGATAGTAGCGTGGAAATGATAAGTTACTACAGATATGACGCTAGAATGCTGCGAACCAAAAATGTTTTATCACCGGGAAACGTTTTGGGAGCTGATTGGTGTGAACATCCTAATGGACGCAACACGGCTATAATAATCATCCAGGAATGGAATGAATTTACGAAACTGTGATATTTTTAGCATCATTTCCAGCCGAACGGCACCCCCGAAAGTCATGCAACATGGTTTGCTTGAAAAAAAACGAAACGAGGGCGCTGTTCGTCCGGCGTTTTTTTATCAACAGACCACCATGAGCTAGCTCTCTGGTTTGTGCGGCTGGCCCAATGCAATGATAGGCCAAGAAACGCCAGCACGAAACTTCCATACCTAGTTATATGGAAAACCGACAGCATGTTGATAAAAACACACCGAACACTGTTAAGAAATAAAACTAACATGGGTGAGCCCAATTCCGAATAAGTCAAGCTGGGTGAGAAGTGACGAAGGGTTGCCTGCCCGCTCGTGGGCGAGTGGCTGCGTCATGCCATGCGGCACAGCATAGCTACAGGCGTGTGATACCTCCGCCATCTAGTGACGAAGCTTTTAAATAATGCATTTATAGATGTCGCTAGTGCACAGTATTGCGGCACAACATCATTCCAGGCGAATACTACCAGCGCCATCTAGTAGCTATTTTCTCAGCATCTGAGATTGCGAAGAGACTGACTTCTATCATTCTATACGGTCTTCTCTAGAAGAAGCCAAGCGTTGAAACAAAATTCATAAGGCTAGTGTAGGCCCAGACGCACAAGGTGACTCGTTTCCCTTACAAATTGACAGGATATCCCGCGCCGGGCCGGTGCTCTGAGATTCTGCGCCGGGCCGGGGGGTCTGAACACCCCCTTCTAACTCGGCTCCTGAGCCACGTAGCGATGCGCGGTAAGCGGCAATCGAAAGAACGTCCAAAATCAGGACGAAAACACTCAAGTCATTTTTTGGGTCAGGTCAAAGGTCAGGTCACCAGAGGTCACCAAAGGTAAAATGTTGACTATTTCAACATTTTGGAAACTGCCAACGGCTATCTCGGGAACCAATAGAGCTACAGCGCCGCGGAAAAGCGCATTCGATAGCCCTTTTACAGACCTTTCTGAATAATGCTCTCAGATTTGACTTCAGGTCAACGGTTTAGCCTCCAGAGGGCAAAAACTCCAAAAATAGCCGTTTTTACGAAAAACGTTTTTTCGGCAATAACGTTTGACACAAAAAAGCCATGACATTACTTTTGCCAGCATCGTGTTCCCCTCGTCGAGACGCGTCGAATGAACTATAATTTGACCTTGAAAGGTCAATTTGAAAATTTGACCTTAGGTCAATGACCTGATCGGAAAAGGTCATGTTGCATATCAGTCGATCTGCAACGTCGAGCCGAACACATCTAAGGCATTTTCAGCGCTCTAGCACGCAGACTTGTAAACGACTCTGAGTTGATTCGTGAATCGACTCAGAATCAAACCGTTTTTCGATGAGTCATGAGTTGATTCGAATCACTTCATCGAGGAACTTGATGAGTCATGAGTTAATTCGAAGCAATTAGATTTAACATCATGAGTCATTTGATGAATCGATTCAAATTTTCAGACTCAAACAAAGAATCGACTCAAAAAAAATTTGAGTCGTTTACAAGTCACCATCAACACCCTAATAATCAATGCTAGATCACCCCCTCAGCTTTAACCATCACTTAACTCCATATTTCAGACTTACAAGAGCCTCAGAGGCTCAGGCACAGGTGCCTAATGAGCCAAAAGCATTTGGCAGTTGGTAGGTACTTAGTCTTACCAAACCAAGTGCCTGCTACACTACCTAGGTACCTACATTTTACATGTCAGAAGTCAGAATTGACACCTGCGGCTGCCTCCCCTTCTCTAAGTCCCAATTTGGTCCCAATAATCAATCAACAGCATAAGAGTTTGGGCGTCTATAGAGTCAAATACGCCCAAACTACCTATAGCCTATAAACTACCTATAGGCTATGCTTTAATATAAATAAACTCACCTATAAACCGCAAAATTGCGATGCTCAGCTGCCAATAAACCACAAAATGCACATTTTTCCATGAAATAGAAGTTTAAAAAGAAACTTGGTTTACAGGGTGTCCCATAAGTTCGTTCTCACATTATATTTGCATATAAAACAGAGTACATTACGTTTTAATATATTTTTGACCCCTCAATGTGCTCCCCATTTCATAGGCAAACACATGAATACATGCTGCGGCATACCAACCGGCATGTTTGGCAGCATAGCAGGCTTGAAGTTAGCACACACTGACTTGACATGCACCGTGAGCTCCTCGAGGCTGGAACAGCGCTTTGATTCGACGAGCCTCAATTTCAGTATTCCCAACACTTTTTAAGAAATTTGGATCCGATGAGTTGCCTGGGATGTGAACTTGCCACAGACGCCTATCACAGTCTCCTGGCACTGTTTTTAAGCCTTGCTTGACCTGTGCACTGATGCACTGTCCTGCTTGAAGATGGGCCTACGACCTCCCGGATGCCATTTTCTCCTCCAAAAATGTGTTCATACTTGCGGTTCGAGTTAAGCTAGAAGGCTGAAACTCCTCCTAGATCTTCTTGGAGAGGCATTCTGCGTTGCAACACTGTTTCTGGAGCACCAATCGTAACCTAATCAGCGTCTGGACGCATATTACCCCACATTACCGTGACCCTAGCCTTTTGCATAGGAACAAAGCGGGACGAAACGAAGGCCTTTTCCTTCGTCCACATGGGACCGTTTTGGGGTTTGGACGGGTTTCTATCTCGAACACGTAGTAGGTAGTCCAGATGACCACATTGATGTCACCGGCTCTCCAGTTTTTTAGCCTCAGGCATAACGAAGCGCATGTTTGGCAATTTTAAGACATTTTCGACTGTTTTGCGTCCTCTGTTAAGTATTAAGCTTAAGTCACCTTGAGGTATGTATCCCGGAAAATATTCTTAGACAGTTGATAATCCATCCTGAAAAGCCAGCTTGTCAACTTTCAAACGTTTTGACCTTTTTAATGGCCTTTTTGACGCCAGACAGTTTTGGCCACATGGCTCACTTCTGAGAGCTGACAAAAAGAGCATAAACTTGCAGCGATTGACTCCCGACAAATCATCGGCGTCACTTGCTGACTGTGCGTCCAGTTAGCGACAGACATTGGCTACAGACTGGATGGCCTCAATCCCCGCAATCGTCGCGAATGGCTCACGTGCGGACTTAACCCGCGCACCGACGGGGGGGGGGCGGATATCCGCCCCCCCCTGAGGTTTTTCGCGAATAGCGGGAAAACCGCGGCGCGTAGCGCCGCGAAATTTGGTATGACTATTCCCTTATCAATTTTACACATGGTGTGCAAGTTTGAACCTCCTACCTTTCAAGGTCAGGTCACCAGGTCACTTTGAATGACCCAACCTCAAGTCACTTTTTTGCAACTTTGTCACCGTGCCAGAGCTACAGTAGATGTCGGAGGCCTTTGAAAGTCGCAGGATGTTATTAGGTCATTAGTAGCTACAATTTTTATATCTCGGAATTTTGATATCGGTGACCTAAGGTCAGGTCAATTTCGCGACCTCCCCATTATAAGTCAATGGGGGAAAAATCAACTCCCTGTTTTTACCACTAAAACGGGTCGGAATGGCCCCATATACCATACATGACTTCATATACGATCAACCTTCACTACCTTGAGGTCTGTTTTGCTGTTGGGCAGCTGTGAGGTCATGTGACGTCATCAAAGGTCACCAAAGGTTTTTGGCCAATAACTCCGTACAGGAACAAGATACAGACGCGTGGATGGTCTCATTGTGTTCAGCTCGTCAAGACGCATCGAATGATATACATGATGACCTCGAGGTCACGTGACCTGAGGTCAACATTTGACCTTGACCTTTCGAGGTCAACATATATATCATTCGATGCGGATTGACGAGAGGATCACGATGATGCCCTTAGTTTGTTCCTATCTTGACTAATTCGAAAGTTATTCGAGAAAAACTCTCTCCATATTTAGCGCCGCCATTTTGACTTTTTCGACCCCTGTGACGTCATCTTTGACCTGACCTGAAAATGACCTTAGTAAAAATTGTAGATCTTGACCGTGCGTATCCGATGCCGTTTACCGCTTGTCGCTATCTTGCTTCGTTCTCGAGATCTCAGGGGGGGGGGCGGTCATCCGCCCCCCCCCGTCGGTACTAAGTTGGCGCAGACCCCCGTCGGTGCGCGGGTTAATGCCGAGACGCACCCGTATCGGAGACCTCTATGTTACGGCGTTAGCCGTCTCCACAGAAAGTGAACTTTCTAGCAAAAAATATTTTATCTAGGCGAACTAGTTACCATGGAGCATATTCACAGTTCCCATGAGAACCTCATAAACTAAGTTACAAACTAAATTCAGCGTGGCTTTAAATAAGAGAGCTTCTAAAAGAAAAATTTAGGTGAGAACGAACTTATGGGACACCCTGTATGACATCATAGAATCTTCGGAATAATGTAAAGGAGCGGCTTTGAAATATTTCCTCAGCGATCTCCATTCGCCTAAAATATGTACTATTAGTGACGTCATGAATTCGAGAATAGAATGTGAAAGTCTTAGTATGTTTTAAGAAAACTACATTAATGGCGCAGTTGATAACTTTCACGTCTTAATCTCGTGACAAATTGGCCGGATGACGTTGCCCGAATTGCACCAATGACAATTCATTTTTACCAAAAGAGCCACTTGGTCAGTGCTCCGGTGCTCCTGATATCGATTAATATTCAATGACGTCATTTTTAATCTAAAATTGTAGACTAACAATATTTTTTTATATTCCTTCATTTTAATCTCCACGTTGAGCCAACATAAATGGTAAGTGACGGATGGGCTCTATCTAGCTGGCACTTGGCAGCCAGTTGGCACTGCTAAACCAGGTGCCGTTTTGAGAATGTATATTGTATACCTACATTAACTACTTTCAATGAGTCTCAACTCAAGATCATATCTGATTCTGAGGCCTGAACCACTCATGCAAGGTCATGGCTCCTGGTGGCCCATGGAGTCCCTGCTGATGCTGAAGCCTGAATGTTTCACAGGTGGGATTAATCCTATTTTTGAGGTTGTACTGTTTGAATAATTTTATCTGATCAGTAAGAAGTAGTAGCATTTGTCTCATTATCATGTAGAAAAAGTTTGATTAAAAAAAAAAAACATGAATGCCTCTCGGAACTTGTGCTTTTGAATTTTCAAATAAGACTTTCTAGGTAATAATAAGAGATAGGTTACTTGTAGATATATTGGACAGGTATGTAGTAAAGAGCAAGTAGCATACGAATATATTCAAGTAGCAATTACATATAAATACGCGGACCGGTTTCGTCTATGAAAGACTTCTTCAGCGCTTTTTCAAAAACGTATAACAAGAAAACTAGCACAGTGACAATCGTTTGAAATAAAATCGGATTCAGTTAAAAAATAATAAGCATTGCTGAGTAGGGCACCTACTACCTAAAAACACTCACAATCTATCATCATATTTCGGTGATTATGCTCCTACATCAAACGTCAACGTTCGATACTTCAGTAAATGCCTAAAAGTTAAACATGTTTGACGGTGTATAGAAATCTATTTCATTTCTCTCTCTCTCTCTCTCTCTCTCTCTCTCTCTCTCTCTCTCTCTCTCTCTCTCTCTCTCTCTCTCTCTCTCTCTCTCTCTCTCTCTCTCTCTCTCTCTCTCTCTCTCTCTCTCTCTCTCTCTCTCTCTCTCTCTCTCTCTCTCTCTCTCTCTCTCATTTTCAGCTTTTTGTAAAATCTTTGATGCTAAAAGTTGCTGCCGATTTTGCCCATTTTATGAACCCACCCTTCGTGTTAATCGTTTCGCTAGTGCTTATAAATGCCGCTTCGGCTGCTTTTCTAATACATTTTGAACTGCAGGAAGCTATTGCTTTTGCTCTCTCCCAGTTTGGCAGATGTCCCGTTTCGTCTGCATGGGCCACAAAGGCGCTATACTCTCGGTAGTTGCAAAGATCTCTTTTGTGCTCTTTCAGTCTAGCATTTATCCCTCTCCCTGTCTCTCCTATATGCTTTCTCGCACATCCCGCATGGTACCCTATAAACTACGCTATTATCCGACTTGTCTTCGTTTCTTTTCTGTCGTATCATATCGCCTATTTTTTGACCCGAGGTCACAGCTGTTCGTGTGCCTGTCGTTTCGATTCTGCGTGCCACTATATTCGCCAGTTTCGAAGCCCAGGGGTGCGGCGTCAGCGCGTGCATCTCTGCCGCAGGCTGGGCGCGGCCGGCGCCGAGCAGAGAGCACGCGCTCTAAGCTCATTTTCTTCGCTCACAAAACTGAGTGAAAACGATGAGAGCCAGCTCGGGAGGTCATTTTACTTTGAACTCTGTGGATATCAAGAATACAGGTTTTCGATTAGGATCAGGTATAGGCGCAGGTACAGGTAATAGTTACAGGTTTCACCGAAAAATAAAATAAATTCATTATCCAGCGAGCGAAGCGAGCAAAGTATTCCTCTCTCTTTCGGTGGACACTCTTTCGAACGCCACCTTCCCCGTATCGCTATGTGGCCTAAGAGCCGAGTTAAATGGGGGGTATTCATTGAATACGCCCCCTCCATCTCGCTGCTTTAGGTTCAACCCCTCCTCCTGCAGGGCGTGGAAATCCAGGACCCCCAGCGTGGCGCGGGTTAATCATTTTTCCTTGAATTCAAATCATAATCTGAATAAAAAGTAGCCTGAGAAACACTATACAGCAGCATTTTTACCTACATGCACACCGCTGCCTTATTACGGCACCGCATATGTCTCTTCTTTCCTAATGAAGCTGTCTGTATTTTGAAAGGATAATCTGTGGACAAAAAACTATGTCATCGAGACATTCGAACTATCAAACAATCGAAACACATGTACTAATTTTTTCGGGTCCGGGTTTCCTTTCCTTCTCATGATAGGCTCTCCCAAAAGCCCCAGCGAATTACATTGAAAATCAATAACATATCGGTAATTTACAAAAGATCATTGGACAGGTTGGAGAGACAGGTTGATGTGTTTTCCCTGCAGGATAAATCGGATATGGTTCACTTTTCTCTCGGCCTGTGCCCCAAGTGGCCCGTTTTTCACCGACCACAGACCAGTGAGCGGCGGGCCCGGGCCAGTCCGCAGCTCGGACTGGCTGGCGCGCGCTGTGACGCGAGCAGGGTAACGGCGGCTGGCCTTGCGCCGAGTCCAAGGGAATTCCATTGTCTGTCGCCGAACGCTGCAAGGAAATGTCTGTCATCAGATCCACACGCGGCCAGCCAAGGGAACGTCCGGGCCGGACCTGCAGCGGCAGTCGCTGCCGTGACCGCGCCGCCCGACTATTTCGTCGTCGTCGTTCCCTCCAGCCCCCTAGGGGGCGTAGCCGATGAGGCTCAATTGGGCGCGGTAGCCGGCAGCCAAGGCCGCCATCGCGCCATTTAGGCGGCGGCGCCGGCCACCGAGCTCACTCGCTCCTCAGCTTCAGGCATGTTCACTTCCTCCGTCCTCGCAGCGCTCCTTGTGGCTTCGGCCTCGGTCCAGGCCGCCTCGCCCTTTTCGAGTGAGTGGTGCACGTGGGCTCACTGGAGTCATCAGTGCAAAATAAGTGATCTCAGTGGAATGATTTGGACACGAGTGGCTGATTACTTCACCCGTAATTCCAATCGTTAAGCTTCTAAATCAATTTATGTTTCAACATTTTCTGTCTCATTGTCTTCATCATCTCAAGAAGGAAGTAATCCGACTATAATTAATCCAATTATCATGTGTGTTCTCGCCTAACCTGGCCCATACCTGTGCGCTTATGCAGGCGGCATGGAGTTGTGCGGCCACCAGCCGTGCCTGCCGCCGGACCGGTGCCAGGACGTGGATGGGGTCAGTGTGTGTATCGCCGGGCTGCCCTGCTACCCGAAACCCTACTGCATCACAACCAGTCAGCAGTGTTGCCAGGACGAGTGATGCCAATACCTCCAGAAAATGCTGTAAAAACCTCTAGAAACCTGCGTTGGAACTGACTCGTGGCGGCGCGGCCCCAAGCCAGACCCTCCCGTTCTGCTGCCGCCGGGTTCAAATACACCATTTGTCTGGATCGTTTGTAATTGCCGGGAAGAAGGTTGGCCGCTGGGCGCCGATAGTAGCGTGGAAATGATAAGCTACTACAGATATGACGCTGGAATGCTGCGAGCCAAAAGTGTTTATCACCGGGAAAAGTTTTGGGGGCTAATTGAACATCCTATTGGACGCAACACGGCTATAATAATCATTCAGGAATGGAATGAATTTACGAAACTGTGATATTTTTAGCATCATTTCCAACCGAACGGCACCTCCCAAAGTCGCACAACATGGTTTGCTTGAGCAAAAAAACGAAACAAGGGCGCTTTTCGTCCGGCGTTTTTATTTACAGACCACCAGCTCCCTGGTCTGTGAGGCCCCCCAATGAGAGGCTGAGAAACGCCAGCACGAAACTTCCATATATGGAAAGCCGGCAGCGTGTTGATAAAAACACACCGAACAGCACTAAGGAATACAACTGACATGGGTGAGCCCAATTCCGAATAAGTCAAGCTGGGGGAGAGGTGACGAAGGGTTGCCTGCCCGCTCGCGAGCGAGCGGCTGCGTCATGCCATGCGGCACAGCATAGCTACAGGCGTGTGATACCTCCGCCATCTAGTGAAGAGTCTTTTAAACAGTGTATTTATAGATGTCGCTAGTGCAGAGTATTGCGGCGCAGTATCATTCCAGGCACCTACTGCTAGCGCCATCTAGTAGCTGTGTTATCAGTATCTGATACTGCGAGGAGAGGGCTTCCCTCATTGTACACGGTCTTCTCTACAAAGAAGATTCCAAACGTTAACCAAATGTTTTAGGCTAGGTTAGTGCCAGACGTGCAAGGTGACTCGCTTCCCTTACAAATTGACAGGATATTGATGCACTGTCTTTGCGATTTTTAATGTTGAAGTTACGAAGTACTTCACTGAGTGTCATTCGGTGACAGTCTTGACGCACTATAAGGCTTTGTATCATTATCTTGCGTATTCTTCACTTATTGTAGACCCATACACTGACAATCAAGTTTCGTTTTATTGAAAAACGCCACCCCACCACGCCTCTAATTCAGAACAATCCTTCGTAAATGACTAGCCTTGCAAGTAGGCCATTACATCATACAGTATATTCTTGAAGTGGCAGAAAAGGTAAAAGTCAACCAAAAGCAGTGCCAGTGGCAAGCCCACCAAACGAGCTACATACACCTAATGGATGGTAGGGTGTCGCAAATGGGCATTAATTTCGCCACACTACTAAATCCTAGCTTCAACAGGGACCAAACGCGGGATTGACATTCAAATACGCTTCACGCCGCTAATGCCAGCACAAATCATACACCAAAGAGCCCATCCGTTGTCAGTGCGGAGCACGGCGGCTCAGTCCCAGCAAATCCTCTTAACTGCGCCGACCTCACAGATGGCGTAAACGGATCGGACAGAAAAACAACCAGCCGTCAAGCCAGCGCCGCGGGCCAACAAATCGCGGACGGCCACAATGCCTCGCGTGCCGCCTCGGCCAAATGAAGTCATAGGACCGAACAGCAGCTCAGCTCCAGTGAAGTCACGCTTCACACAATCAGTCCACGACTCCACTGTCCACACACTTGTCTCGAAATTACCTCACGAAATGTACTCCACAGCGTAACTTCAAGCGTGTTTCCAACCCTAACCGCGGGCCTGTGACGAGTCCCTCGCTCACCAATGACGTCATATTTGCTCTCTAATGACGTCACTGGGTCATGAGCGGCTGAGTGAAGGTGACGGGCCGGTAGAAGTGGTCCTGGTTGCCCCAGCCGCGTGGCGCCGTATTGTAGTTCGTCCAGGACTGCCGGTTACGCTGTCGCTCGGCCCACGAGGCCACTGGCGCCGCTGTCAGGTGGTAAGACAAGGTCAGCGCAGAAAATGGCCGCGTGGTGGGAATTATTGAAAAAGAAAACGTTACGTTACCGTAGTGCAGTTAATTTTCTATGACCTCATCCTCAAAGCTTCAAAAAGCTTGGTCAAGAAACGTTGATAGTAAACATGTTTTGCCGAAACTTCTTTTGAAATCACGATGATGATGCCATAAAAAAACTTTTCATTTTGAAATATGATCCTGCAAAAGCACAAAGAACGTGAACTACTGTAGAACCAATAATTCACCTTATTTCGATTTATGTTTATTGGTGGTTGAGGTTCCACCAGACATTTGAGCCAAATTTAGGGTTTTATGTCTGTCTCGCGGTTCACCGAATAGTTTGGACGCAAGTTTTCAAACTGAATTACTTGCGTTTACGGATTAATCGTTTCCAGCGTTGTCTTCAATCAACTAAAATTTATTGAAGGTAAATTGGTTCATTTAGCTCACAAGACTTATTATGTACCTACTTAAAAATATTAGAAACTTAAAAAATTGCTTGATTGCATTTTGTTTGCCCTTCATAGAAAATCGTTGAATGTTTCGATAATAAGTTGCTATGGAAATTACAGCCTAAGTTTTTATGCGTTAAGTCTAAAACTGCACTACAAACTCAATTCCTCAATGTCACAAAGTTTCTCAACATTCTGTTGAAATGTATATTGTCTAATTCTCCAGTAGATTAAGACCTCAACTAGCTAGCAGTTAACATTCCAAGAGCCCATTTAGGCTAACTCTACTCCACGCACGCACAATTAGCAGCCGCGTCCCCCGTGACAGCGGCGCTCATCTACGCGACTGCTGCCTCGCGCTAGCGACGCGGCGCCTTGCCACAGCTCGTGGAATTACACCCCAGGGCACATCGTGGCACGCGCCTCAGGCGTGTTATACAGTGAGATAGAGGCGAGGGAAACAGCTGCACTGTCTGAACCGAGACTGAATTAAAACTGCAGGATTATGAACGTGGACGAGTTCCATCTTGTTACGGATGGAGCTGAGTAGGCAAGGCTGCTCAGCAATGCAATGCATTGTAACAGTGTCTTGTCACTGACGAAGGAAGTGGAACCCTATAGCCGAAACGTCTAGTTGCTTATAATATTTGCTTCGATATTGCCATTGGGTGTGGATAAGCATACCAATATCCAACAGTGCTGAATATTTTCCGTAAGTAGATACTGACGAGTAGATATCCCACGTGACGTTGTTTTTACGTTAGTAATATCATCGTAAATAAGTTAGATATCTGACCAGATAACCAGATGAGATTGTCGGAAGCCCGTAATCATGACGCAGTGAAAGTGTCGCCGGGCAGACTGGGCCACTGGGGAAATGGCCGATTACGTGCCTAGCTTACCCTGGGTATTGGTTATGTGATCGATGCTTGACTCGGCCGGGGCGGGCGCGGCCGGCTGGCGTCGCATGGTGACCTCTGGGACCGGAGGCGCTGCCGGAAACCAGAGGTTATGTAAGAGGTCAGAGGGGTCGGGTCAGAAGGGATAGTTGCGGAACATAGTCTGCATCTACAGCGATTACGAGCGGTGTCAAAAAATGAAATTTTATTTGCGGCAGAACATACTCTACTCAACCAAGTGCAGTTTATGCCAAAATGTGGATCATCCCTCCTTCAAAAGAGGAGAGGAAATAATGCTTTTTGCACAAGGGAATGATAATAGATAAATTAGACTTACTCTGAAAGAGACTCTTTTCCAGATGACTGAGTGGCTGTCTGTTCATCTGTCATGCGTGAACAATGTGCACTGGACAATGGACATTATGATTTTCCTACAATTGCATCACATTAGCCCAATAATCGCGATAGACATCACATTCTTTAGCGTGACTACATGCAACGCAATAGCCTTACAAAATACAAAGAAAAAACAGACCGGATGTTTGAATGATCTTCAATTAAACTTTGATAAAACGTGTCCGGTGTTTCTGCTCCAATAATCACCATCGGATATAAATAAAAAAAACATCATCAATGTAGCAAGCTGTGTCAGTTGTTGTCAACACAACAGTTATGGTTATGGTTGGAAGCTTAGACTTAGTCTGGTTGGAAGCTTAGAAGCGTCTACGGATATTTGCCAAACATGTATTTAGCGTGAAAGAAACGATAGACGGACTCCTAGTCATGGGCATTTCCTGGCCTCATTGGTGGAGAAAGTATTGATCCTAAGTGTCTGGGGCAATGCGCCCGTTCAACCGTTATCAGAAAACACTTTGTCAAGGAGTGAAGCCTGATAAATCGTGAGGCATCCAGCGAAGTCTGGACCCAAAGCTAAACATTCCGTAATGGAAAAATTCATTGAAGATGTCTGCAAATATCTTATGAAGTACTTCAAGAATATGGGTTTGCATTTCTCACGGTTTCAAACAGTCAAACCTATTCTATATTCAGGAAATAGGATGAGATGTATCTAAAAGGCGATTTCTTTATATTATGAAATTCTTATGCTAAAATACAACAACTACAACATTCAACAAGAATAGATGTCGGCCTTGTCATTGTCGGCCTTCAACAATTGATTCGTATCAGAACACCTTCAAAATATATCGTACATTTATCTAAAAAGCTTTCCAAATATTGTTACAGCTAACAACACATCTGCTTACTAAGTAAAGGTGAGCATTCATTTATCAAATGCCCCAATTCCTCATCATCAAGAATTTACCGCGGACGTGCATAGCGTTTATCTGCATGCATCAACGACATACGACATTCCCACAGTGATTTTGCTTAGGTCTACCATAGTGTAATGAATACATTATTTCATTATTACACTATTAGATTATATGGCTACTTATTATCAATTACAACCTACTATTTATCACACCTTGGACCCACTTGACCCGCGCTAACGCTGAAAACCAAATATAACGATGAATGGCAGAAACAAACTGTGACGTGAGTTGCACTTGCATGAGCTGTGAATTGTTGTGGCGTTCAAGTGATTGTAGAAATTTAACTAGCCACCAATCAGAAAATATGATTTATCGATAGAGAATCAATGGTTTGTGATAATAAGAAGGCGTAACTATAGTATTTAACGTTTTAGTACGCGGCAGTGAGAACAGTTAAAAATAACAACAAACATAAGTGTGAGCTTCTTAGTGTGAAAATGCCGTGCGCTCACGAAACAATCTTCAACTGCTACAGTGCTACAAAGACCCGAATTAAGCCATCTTATGCAGTCACTATCAAGAAAGCATAAAAAACTGCACTA